CCTGGACCAGATGGCTTCACTGGAGAATTCTGCGAAGCATTTAGGGAAGAACTAGCACCAGTCCTACACAAACTCTTCCAGAACATAGAAAAAGATGGCAAACTCCCAAACTCCTTCTATGAAGCTAGTATAACTCTGATACCAAAACCAGGCAAGGATCCCACAGGAATCGAGAACTACAGATTAATATCCCTAATGAACATCGATGCAATAATCCTTAACAAGAGTAATAATAGCTAATAATTATTGAGAGCTGATATGCCAGATATTTTGCCAATGGTAGTTAACATTTAATATATGTGTTGGGGGAGCTCTGGTGACATAGTGTTTATGCATTAGGCTGTTTCCGCATGTTTCGCAGTTTGAAACCACCAGCAGCTCCATGTAAGAAAGACTGGGCTTTCTAATTTTATAAGCAATTGCTATCTTAGAAACCCACAGGAGGTACCTAAGAGTCAGCATTGGCTCGAAGGCAGCGAGAGTTACTACATGAGGTAGAGTTTAATCATTCCATGAATACTATGAAGGTAGTTAGCTATTTTACTCATGAGTAGAACAAGATAAAATATCTTGGTAACTGCCAGTAAGCCTTGAACTACTAACCACAAAGTCTATGGTCCAAACCTACCAGAGGCACCCAGAGGAAAAAATGAGGCTGACTAGACTTTGGGAGTTACCAATGGGGGAGGCAAGGAAGGAAAGATGAATTAATAAACTAGCGGATTGGCAGGTATTAAGTTAGGTGAAGGGGTGTCAGGGTAGCCAGCCCCTAGCAACTAATCAGGGGTCTGGTAGGCGCCATTGTACAACTATAAGATTATAGTGAAGTTATAGAGAACAAGAGAGGAGGAGAGAGAGTAAAATGAAGGAGTCAGATACATTTCATGGGAGCATGCTCACTTTGGCCCTTCTTGGTGATCCACGTGGGAGTACGGGAAGAGAGGAGGACAGGAGAGAGAGGAGAAAGAAGGAGTGGGAAGGTGGGAGAGGGGACAGGGCCAGAGAGCATCTTTATTGTTTTGGGGCTTTGATAGGTAGCCATTAGTCATGCATATTTGTTACATGTCACAAAGTGGGTGGGAATCACAGTAAAGCCCCTGAGGTCACAGGTGAGGAAACCTAATACCCGCTTTGGTGGAAGACAGAGGGGGAATGGGCGCCACAGTGGGAATCAGGGAATGTCTGCCTCTACAGGAGACAGAATCAACCATGTGCTCACTTGAAGGCAGCATAGCTGTTAGGGGATAGTTTCCCACAAACGGGTCTGCAGAGAGACAAGAGAAATCAGAGGAGGTGGGATAAGATTGACAAAGCCCTATATAGATAGCGTCACTATGAGGCGGAATTGTCTTGGTGGCAGTTGGTTGAGTTTACACAGCATATAGCCCTCAAAGTTTGTTTCTAGACTATCCTTAGTACATTTATATAGGTGTTAATACTGATCATACTCCTTTCTAACCATTTTTCTTAGCTAATAATTCTCTTTCACATGTTCTGTTTCACTCTAATTAGTTAATACAAATTAATTAATAGTATTAGTAGATTATTAATACTAATTTTATTATAAAGCCAAAATTGTTTATGTCTCAATTATCTTATTTGCTTGTCCTTATATTCTATTAGCTATTCCTTATATTCCTCTCTCATGTCTCGGGCTGGTAACTCAGATACTATGAGCTATAATTTAATGCATGGACTTCTGGAGCAAGTACGTGGGGTTGGTGGTGGTACAGTGGTTTAAGCACCCGAGGGGCCTAACCAAAATGATGGTAGTTTGAACCCACCAAAAACTCTGTGGAAGAAAGATGAGGCTTTTTACTTACGTAATGATTTACAGAAACTCCCAGAAACCCTAGGGAACAATTCTTCTCTCTTACAGTTTGGCTGGGAGTGGGAACCAACTCGGTGCCAGTAGGTTTAATTTGGTTTATTTATTGTCTTGATCCTATCACGCTTCTTCTCACTTTAGTTATTAACTTAATATTCACTGAGTGCTGCTATTTGCTTCATCTTCAATGGTTAAATGCTCAGCTGCTGTCTGAAAGGTCAGTGGTTGGAGCCCAGCGTAGAAAAATAGACCCAGCCATCTGCTCCCGTCAAGATTAGAAAAAATAGTAAGAGACTGTTCTACTCTGTCACATGGCGTCACTAGAAGTCAGAATCAACTCGGCAGCAGTGCGTAGCAGTTGACAAAACACTGTAAAACCCGGCCTTCGTGGAGCTCGCACTTCAGGGAGGGGCAGAAAGAAGTCACTCAGCCCATCAGTTAATGGGTGGATAATAATATGTGACATGCGGGGAGTGCTAAAAGGAAAAGCAAAGATAGGAAGGAGCTTAGGCTGTGCAGGGAAGTTGATAGTCACGAGTAGTCTTCACTGAGTAGATGACGTTTCCCAAAGAAAACCCAGACCTCTAAAGAGATCACATTTCGGCAGAAACAGAAGCATGCTTGGGCCGCTAGAGGAACAAGAAGGAAGCGCCCGTGTTGGAGTAGCGTGAGCAAGTGGGAGACTAATAAGTGAAAACTGAAGGAGTGGGACGCAGACCCATAGGCTTTTGTGAGGGTCCATGCTTTTCCTCGGTACCAGATAGAAAGGCACTGGCAACTTTTGAATGGACATGGGATCGGGTCATTTTGGACTACTATGACTTGGCATGTGTGTGAGGGATTAATGGAATAAATATAATGATATGAATGTACAAATTGTTACTGCGGTTTTATTCCATTTTTATTGCCTGGTTGATGGTGATGCTCTTGCCTGTGC